TGCAGGAGTCCGGGCCGATCCCAAGCCCGCTTCTGACCGCCCTGGCCCGCCAAAAAAACCTCCGCCCTCCCGCGCGTGCTCCCGCCCGACGCCTGCTGCCCGCATTCATGACGCTGTAAAGCGCGTCGCTCCGCATTGAAGAGGGCTCAGGGCGGACGCGACCTCTCACTGCCTCCACGAGGGCGTCACCTGCTGCACGCCCAGCTGAACACGCCTCCTCGCCGCATTCATACGCCCCCATTAACCCCGCGTGGAAGCCGAGAAACGTACTCCGACCACACGTCTGTTCATGAGCCGGGCGGATTAAACGCAACGCTGGCTGAGCTCCTACCATCTGTCATCTATTTAAACGAGGGCAGACGCTGGGCAAGAACCACACCCTTCCGTCGCTCCCCCAATCTCCTCCTCCACCACTCTTCTGATGGCTTCCGAAGAGCAGTTCTCCGGCATACAAGCCGGTTGGGTGGCCCACCGAGCCCGCCGGATACGAGTGAGGTAGCTCGCTGCTCCACCTCCCGCGCTTCACCCGACGGAGCAAGTTGCCGCCCCAAGCCGCCGCGTGGTTCATCAACTCGCCGCTCCAGGGCCACTCGATGAGGAGTGGTCAGTTGCTCGACGCCGGCACGGCGGGGAGCACGGCGGCACGGGCATCATCGCTGTCGTCGACGACTGTGCCTCCCATGCATGTGACCCCGCCTCTCATGCATGCGACCGCGCCTCCTGTGCCTGCGACCGGGCCATGCAGGCAAAGGCTGAAACTGGTGGCCGGCGGCTCCGCATCCACCACGATCACTAGGAGAAGTAGAATACGGGAGTACGCCGCCGCTTGGGTCCCACGAAGGCCACCGCCTAGGCGACACCGGCGTACACAGTCGTTGTCTTGCCCGATTCTTCTCTTTTGAGGACCTCTGTCGGCCCCACATGGGCTTCACGGAAGCGAAGGCACCGCCTTCCCCTCCGGCTGAAGCATCTGCCGGGGGTTTCACTCCGATGAGTGGCGGGGAAGTGAGCCGCCCTTTGCACTGAAGCATATACCTCCGGGGCTCCCGACAGTCCGGTGATCGGGCTGTGGACATGAGGAAGACAAAGGGATCCGCGAGCGGCTATTTAGATTAGGTATTAATTATACCTTTCCTTGCAAAAAGTATTAATTATACCTTCAGAGCCGGACTAGCAACGTTGATGTAAATGTACTGAAATCCGTCGTGTTTATATGAAAATCAAGCTTTTTATATGAAATCCGTCATGTTGGCATGAAATCCGGCCGTGTTTGCACGAATTTCGTCTGGTTGGTATGAGTTGTTGTGAAATTATATGCGGCTAACGTTGGATGGTTGTCTCCCGCATCTGTGTTCGTGGACTGGCCCCCTGTCCGCATGAGGTTTTTTGCGGGTTGCCGTTGGAAATGCTCTTAAAAA